ATAGGTCTGGCAGGCCACTTCAGTCACAGCCTCCAACCCAGCATCTCAAGCCTTCTTTTGGTGCTCCAGGGGATGGGTATGCCGCTAGTGGGCCTCATCCATCTCTTTCTGCAGGAAATGCATATTTGATGTACGACAGTGAAGGCCCAAGGGGACATCCACCACAACCACCAAATTTCCCACAAAGTGGTTATCCTCCCTCCAGCTTCCCTCCCCAGAACGCACAGTCCTCCCCGAGCCCCAATCATATGTTTCGTCCACCTCAATTGATGCGCACTCATCCTTACAATGAATTAATTGAGAAGCTGGCAAGCATGGGCTACAGGGGTGATCATGTGGTTAATGTTATCCAAAGGCTCGAAGAAAGTGGTCAGACAGTTGATTTCAATACTGTGCTCGACAGGCTGAATGGACATTCTTCAGGTGGTCCTCAGAGAGGATGGTCGGGTTAGGTCATTATCCATAACCTTTCTAATCATGTTTTCATGTAGGGTCTTCTGAAAATAGTGAAAGTACAATTTGACTCGAATACTATCTATTTGCTGAATAAGGGTCATATAAGTAGGCAGTTGACGATGATGTATGCAGCGCTATCATGCTGTGTATTGTAGATTTGCCATGTCTTACTTCTGAAGTTTTATTTGTTGTAAGGCAAAAATGTTTTCAACATTGTAATGTAGGAGAATTGATGAATACCTCTTTTTTAAGATTGAACCATCTTCTCTCATTCTTGTCCTTTGATTTAATCTTCTCTGTTCACCGCGAAAAGGGTTGGTCTGATCTGGGCCAACTGGCTACGCGGTGGAACCTATGCTTACGACATATATGTGTACAGCTCGTAATGAAGGACGTGATCTTGCTCAGGAAGGTAAGAAAACACTATTAACATAAAAGTTAAGCTCCACCAGAGGGCTGTATGACCTTTTTCTTTAGTATTATTGAATTGTGTAAATTTATCTTATAATATAAAAACTTTAGCTATTATTAGAAAGTGAAAAATTCCAGTTTATTCTTTCTCACTAGCAACTAGTAATTGGGGAATAAATTCTTTAGGGCATCTGAGTTTATAACTAATATTTTGAGACATTCTTTATAGTTGCCCTATGCACCTAGTTGGAAACTTATCGATGCATTAAAGCTCTCGTTATATGTTAAAGTTTTTTAAAAGATCTGATCACATTGCGTCTATTGTATGCATTATTTCCTGCATTTTTTCAAAGATATTGTTACCTATTAAATAAATATTTAGAAGATTTAGCATCTGGTGCTCTATCAAAGGATAAAACATAGTGGACAGAAAATGTAAAGATTCTTGCCAAAAGTTGTTGGTAGGCAAGCAAAAATTTTGAAATTTTTTCTTCAATAAGAACATAATTTTGTTCTTTGGACTAATATAAACTTTAGTATTAGAGGTAACGAAAATATATATTTAAAGTATTACTATTTTACGAGTGCTCTATATGTACTATCATGTATTGTGTTTTTCATCTAAACTATCATTAACTGTTTATCAAAACACGCATCGCTTAACGTGATATATGTGTGATCTGCACTCATTTTTTAAAAAAAATTTATACTGGTGCCAAATGGCACTCCATGTGGTTGTTTAAAGAAATTAATTGGAATTTTATAATTAAAATTAAGAGAATGATTAAAAAAAAAAACCCACTCAAAGATTCATTTTTATTTTTATTTTGTGAATTTTTAACCTAAAATATCAAGTTCCTTTTCTAAAGGGTCATCAATTATTTTCTCAAAACATGCCTTGATTGAAATTAATGAGATAATTACCATGTGAACGAAGTTTCATGCGCAAATTAAGTTGTCACATGCACACGCCTTTCGATGATCGTATTCCAACACATGATACAGTCAGTTTCAAGATGTGTTTTGATAAATAATTAATGATAATTCAAATTTAAAAAAAATAATTAAAAACCCGGTAAAGTGATACTTCAAATATATTTTTATCATTCCTTTTTTAAAAATATTTTACATCTCATCTATATATTGATAGAACTTGACACAAAAGAAAGAGAAAAAAATAAGTTGGATAGAGAAATGAGAGAAATGAAAGGTGAAATTTTTCTCAACATCTCTGCAGAAAAAGCATGGGAAATGTATAGAGATAATGATAAAATTAGTAGAATTAATCCACAAATGCTTGCTAAAGCTGAATATATTAAAGGAAAAGGAGAGCCTGGCAGTCTCAGATGTTTCAAGCTTGGTCCTGGTGAGTCTTTAATAAAATCTAAATCGAACTCAGTGATCTTCGTCTTAGTCCGATTATAAATTCACGTGAATTTAGTAATTTTTGTTCGGATCTTACATATTCATTAAATATTAGATTGTGAACTCAGTGATCATTATAGTATTGACTTAAAGATCGTTATAGGAACCTGTAATCTTGAAATTCTGAATTTGTTTTTAAATGTTTGTACTAAGTACCACCGAATGAAAGACATGTATCGTGTGTATGACTTTTTTTTAAATGTAATCATGGTTTGAATAATATGTATTTTTACTTTAATTTGTACTAACGGATACAAATAAATTATTTGATTTGGTGTAAATAATTGTGAAGTGTTGATTATTTACCCCATCATCTAAGTTAATCTAGGATAAACAGTTACTCTTAATTAATTTCAATTTATTTGTCTGGTTTAGATTTGATATTAATTTTGAAGTATGTTTTTTTAAAAAAAGAAATTGATTCAAGATTTGAAGTTTATCAATGATTTCATCTAAATCAAAGATATGTATAATAAGTCTAGGTCAATAATTACTAGGTTGACGTGAACTCATAAGTAACAATACAGATTAGCTCCTGTAAGGGTGAAATCAGGTCATCGAAAAATTACAATTGGAATTATTTTTATACGTATATACAGTAGATGTTATATTCGTTTGATATCTTCGTGTGTTTTATCTCTTTATATATCAAACCCCATTAGTAAAAAATTCTGATTCTGTCGCTATGCCCTTTGTAACACAAATATATTTTATGCAACAGTCAACCATACGTGTTGAATCCCTTTAATATCTTTGCTTTTTTTTCTTACCTCTTTATATTTTGAAAAATTCTGACTCCGTCACTGCGCGTTATTTCATGCAGCATTAAGTAAGTATGTCAAACAATCAATAGAAAAGATAGAGAAGGTGGAAGAAGGAAGGTCAGTGACATATCAAGTGACTAATGGTGAATTAAGTAAAATGTATAATCCATACAGAGTTACCTTCTCTTTCATTTATGTGAGCAATGAGCAATGTGTAGTAGAATGGAAAGCAGAATATGAGCAAATTACACCTAAAATTCCCACACCAGAAAAGGCAAGAGATGCTGCACTATCATTTCTCAAATCATTTGAAAAAATAGACAACCATGCTATGTAAAAACAACGAGTTCGATATCTCAGATAGTCGCTCAACTAAGAGTTATTATCTCAGAAGAACGGTGATTATTTCATGAGCTAATAACTGTTAACTGAATGACCATGTGAGAAATCTGAAGTTAAAGCGTTGCGAGTTCAAGCTTTATGGTTCTTAGTATATAAGTTGTTGTGTGGGTTTATATTGAGTTCAGATGAGTTTGATGTATTCTATGTCGTATGTTTATGAAATTTATGTCGTGTGTAAGAGTAAAGAGGTCATTTTGTTACATGTACGATCCAAAATGGTCTCGTTAAATAAGCAGAGATAGATACATGATGTGAAGTTCATGAGCTTCTGCAGATATCTCAAGTTAATAAAAATGATTGAATTTATAGTCAAATATTTGGTAAATTTCTTAATACGTATACTTGATTTTGGGATTACGTGAACTTGTAACTTCTACTAATATAAATACCAATTAATTGTGTGTATGAGTTCAATTTTACAATATTTTATTGCATTTAAGTATGTATTGTATCATACTTGTAATTTATATACACTTATATATCTTTATTTAAACTTTAATCTTAAGAAAATTTCTTCTAATTAGAATAAATTTACATTTTACATTAATTTCTGGTGCATCAATTTCATATGTAAAAAAGTATATTATTCTCGTTTTTAATCTTTTGAAACAAAGTGTGTTTTCACAAAATTATAGAGGAAGAAGATAGACTAAATTGAGTTAATAAGCTTAGATTATTTTAAATTTAAACGCGTAATATTACGATTCAAATGGTAATCTCTTGACTATTGAACTGCTCTAATAAATCACGCGTTTTCAAATTAGTAAACCATAAAAAACAATTTGCTCGTATTTCATCTTCTAATTCAGTTTCCTATTATTGCGTAATTAGTCAAATTAATTTTTGATTAACATTAATTAGTTGGATATTAATTGTGGATCATGACATGGATGGGCTTATAGAAGCAATGTTCAATTTCCGGCCCATGATCATTGGGAACATTAGCCCAATTATGCTTTTTGAACTTCATCAAATGGTTCGGGTTGAAACTCGAAGCGCTCGGGAACATTAGCCCAATTATATTTTTGAACCTCATCAAATGGTTCGGGTTGAGACTCGTAGAACTTGGGAAAGTTCTTTAACATGGTCTTATATTGAAAGGCTTAAAAGACAAATTTAAGAAATCAATCCATATTTTTAAGCGTTTTTGAGAGTCAACTTGTTAGTACGGTATGAATTAAAACTCGAGGGGATCAAGGGCGATTCAGTACCATTGAGACTTATATCGATGTTGTAGATTATGTTTCGCGATCGCTTAAATGAGGACCGGAACTACATAAGAGGTCATTTGTGTAAATATCCAAATTTTAACCTTCTCCCTCACCTAAAATTTGGCGCAAAAATTTCAACTCAAAATTTACAACAGAGCGGTAGATATTTGGCGGCAAACGTTCCCGCTAAATATTTTCCCTCCATTGAAGCTCACAGTGAAGCACTATATATAAATCTTGCGGAACCCAATTTTTTTCATCTCAATCTCAGATTCTTCGCTCACAAATTCTTAGTTTTCATTCCAATTTTTTGTTAAGTTTTAGGGTTATCATGGTGGTAGCATTGGGTCCAGGAAAATTCTACGGCAGCAGTTTACCAAGGCCGAGGTTTTACGAAAACCCAAATGGAGAACGGGTCGATCCACCGGTGTCCGTTATGGATCCGTTGATGTCATGGGCTGAGGAAGCTCACTGGTCAATGGGGGGTTTGAGCTTCAAACGCCTCCGTCTTCAGGGACGGATCGAAGGTAACATCAAGAAACTCAGAGCTGAGCATGAGAAGATGGAGAAGAAGTCGGTGAAAAAGGGTTCGGTGTCGTCACGGGTGGTTCATGTAAGTCCATCTCCTCCTCCTGCTCCATTGAATTTGAAGAGGAAAATGCGATTGGTTGATGAGTCTGATGATGAAAATGAAGAAATGGGGGTAGAGGGGAGAGTGGAAAAAAGGGGTCTAGCGAGGAAATTGGATGATGATTTTGATAAAGTTGCTGAGAAGAGTGATGGGGTAGTTATGGGAAGAACAAGGAGTGGTAGAAACAAAGAAGCTGTAGTTGAGAAATTGAAACCCAGAGGTAGAAAATTGAAGAAGGGAGTGAAGGGATCTGAGAAGAAGAGTGTACCAGTGACACCAAATGCAGCAAGGACTTCACCAAGATTGTCGAAACGTCGGTTGCCTTGAAGGTGTTCGATAATTTGTGTCAATGAACGAAACCTTCAATAGTACAGTTATATAAGTGTGTTAGCTTTGCAATGTAGGTTGAATTATTGTAGTAAGTTGCTAATCTTGATAAAAACTGAATGAAAATTGAAACAATCCAGTTGTTGAATGCTTTATAATTGATTGTCTTTGGTTTATGGTTCTTTGTGTAGATCATATGTTATAATAAGAAAAATGGGAGAAATTTTATAATCTTGAAAATGTGTTTAATGATTAAGATTTTCTTTGAATCTTATGATCTTTAATGAGCCTTAGATTGAGATGTTCTCTGAATCTTATAATCTTTAACCATGCTTAAATTATAGCTTTTTTGATTTTTCAACTTTTCAAGCCAGAGGCATAAGAAGATGCCATCAAATTTGTAGTAATTCAAATAATTTTTTTGATTCCATCCTCTGATTTTGAAGAGATTTTTAGACTTTTCTTGTTTATAATTGTAACAATATGAGTATCATTGGGCTCTTTTTGATGAACTCCTTTCATTCTTAATAGTTGTGGATTGCTTTGGTGATTGTGGTTGAGGAAGTGTTTTGTTAGAGTTGTTCGAGTGGAGTTTTGGCCTTTGAGCTCGTATGGTTAGGGAGTCAATTGTGGAATGAGTTGTAGTATATGTTTTAGAGTGGATCGTTTTGGTGATTGTGTGGTTGAAGAAGTGCTTCGTTAGAGTTGTTTGAGTGAAGTTTTGGCCTTTCAGTTCGTATGGTTAGGGAGTCAATTGTGGAATGAGTTGTAGTATGTGTTTTAGAGTGGATCATTTTGGTGATTGTGTGGTTGAAGAAGTGCTTTGTTAGAGTTTGAGTGAAGTTTTGGCCTTTGAGTTCGTATGGTTAGGGAGTCAATTGTGGAATGAGTTGTAGTATATGTTTTAGAGCGGATCATTTTGATGATTGTGTGGTTGAAGAAGTGCTTCGTTGGAGTTGTTGAGTGAAGCTTTGTGCTTCGTTAGAGTTGTTTGAGTGAAGTTTTGGCCTTTGAGTTCATATGGTTAGGGAGTCAATTGTGGAATGAGTTGTAGTATATGTTTTAGAGGTTGTTCAGTGTTAGACATTTTTGTTTAGCTTGTATGATGTTTAGCGTGTGTGGAGGCTCAGGGGTGAAATTGATTGTTGTTATTGAAAACTTGTGATATGTGAGTAATTGCTCGAGTTAGGGGCTATGTGACTTGTCCTTATATTTGATATTGAGATGCTCGAAGAAAAAAAAAATGTATTTCAAATTACATAGATATAAACTTAATGCATTCTCTTCATTTGTGTTTTCTATATTTAGCTTTTGGCATGCTAAGCAAGGAATCTAACAGGGTGTAAAGTTAGGGAACAACAAGAGAAATGAACCAACACACATTGAGTCTAACAAGTAAATGTTCCCAAAAGAGTGACAATACCATTATTTTCTCTCTTAGTATTCGTGTATTTGTATTAAAAGATTATGACCCATAAACTTAAAAAATTAAAATCTTGAATCTGTCTTGATCAAAACTACGTAATCTACACCTTCCTCTATGATAGAGACGGAACTAGGGTCAAGATCGTTCTTATTGAAAAAATATACTTAAAAAGTTATGTATATTTAACTATAATGATTTCTTCGATTGTAACAATATTTCAAAACAACCGAATCATAAAAGAAAAACCCACTTAAGTTTTGAAAAATAACATATATTAGAAGTTAAATATATATTATCTCCTTTTAAATTGATAAGTAAGATCAATTGATATGTTAAGTGTCGAAATTATATTATAAGTGAGAACATTATTGATCGTTTTGACGAGACAGAATCCTATTCAAATTCACCAATTTGTATCCCACAAAATACATCAAATAACAAAACAAGAGCCACAAAAGAGCAAAATTCAAAATCCAAAATCCAAATTCAAATCCAAATCTCCATGGCTGAAACTAAACAACAACAAGAAGAAGAACCTCCCCTGTTTCCACCATCATCAACCTCTTGTTGCTCCTTCATGCTTCTCTTGAAGAAACTTATGAGCAAAAGACGAACATGGGTTTTCCTCTTTCTCACTGTTTACACAATTTTACTCTCAATTTCCTGGAATTTCCTCAATTCAGTACTTTCTTGGTACGAATCCACCATGAAATTGACACCCACTTCAGCTCTCTACGGATCTATGATATTAGGGCTTGCATTTGGGGTTTTATCGATTGTAGCAGCTCTGATCGTTGTGGTTCCAGCAACACTTGTAACTTGGATAACTATTTTGGTTTTGTTGACATTTGCAGGTAAAGGGAGAAGGGATTTGGTTATCGAGGGGAAGAAGTTAACGGCTGAGATTTCTGGGTTTGTTGTTAGGGTTTTGATTAGAGAAGGGAATCTTGTTGCTGTGATTTGTGCTGTTCTTGGGTATTTTGCACTTGTTAGAAGGAATAAAGAAGATGGTATTGATTATTGAATTCAAAAAATCGAGTTGATGATCACAACACAAATCTTAATAGATCAGTTGGTTGACTATCTGAACTTTCAGGTTATTGGTAAGAGTTCGATTCATCATATAGTAATACTTTCCCATACCCCATTGTAAATCAGTGGTTCTTGTTGTATTGGAGGGGTTCGAATTAGCTCGTCTCGAGATGAAAGAAAAGATTGGTAATTTGTGTTTCTTCAGTTTCAGGATGTGATAGATAGACCTAGCCTATCTTTAACTTTAGCTGCTTAGAAACCTAAACGATTGATGTTTTTTTCCCGTCTTCCCTTATCATGGTTCTTATTTTATTGGAGGGGGTTTGAATCTTGTTCCACCTCAGAATGTGATGAGCTATTCTATCTTTAACTTTCGCTGCTCAGAAACCTATAGGAATGGATGTTTTTCCCCGTCTTCCCGGACCAATTTACCTATTTGGAATTCTTCAGCTACCACCATATTAGTCTTGCTTTTGCCAAAAAATCCGTCCTCACTCTACTGTTTTATCGACTTTTGCTGCAAAGATATTAGTAGAGACAGTTGTTTGCTTGCTGGAAACTTCGACTAGTATATTCCTTCAACGCTATGATTACGTTTCTAGTAATCGTTCTTTGTATACTATGATCTTGATATTGATAATCTAGTCTTAGCATATGGAGGAGGAGGCCTTTGATAGACGGGAAGTAATTAATCGTGTGGAAGTCCGGTTGTTTTTGCCACACATTGCCCTTTCAAGACATCTCTGGACGACACAGCCTGATTTTTGAGGGATTTGGTGACTGATCAGAATTCGATAAAGATTCAAACTTTGAGCTAATTTGAAGCTACTTTTCGTCTTGATTATGGATTTAGCTACAAGGGTGTATAAGCATAAGTTAGAATTGGTAGCTTTGTGTAAACAGTAGAGAAATGGTACATGTTTCTGCAATGTATGTGATGTTCGTTTATGAAATATATAGTGGAAAACGGATGGTATTTTACCAGATACTTGTGTTGATGAAAGGTATCGAGATATTTTGCACACATTATTGGTAACAATGTAACCCTTCCTTTTGAGTATTTACGCGTCGTTGCATGATCTGGGACTTCATATCGGTTCATGTAATGTTTCTGCAACATTTGAATAGCTGAAATTGTAAATTTTTCTGGTGCTGATGCCTTCTTCAGAAACCAGAATTTGAAAAGCTTATTGGAAATTCCTTTGCCTCCTTAATTAGTAGTGAGGTATGGTCATTCTGATAGATGAAGTCGGGATTTGAAGTTTATAAATTCTAAATCTTTCAATGACTCTCATACGAGTCCCTTTTGTGTCAGCTCTGTCTAGGAAGGCGCCAAAGTCTTTTCGAGACGTGCACATAATGATAATCTAATTCATTATTCCGAAGAAAAAGCCTACTATGTTATGGAATAAGTCATTCCTCCGCCTTATTTTTTTAAAGGTACGGAAACATAATGAGTCAGAAAGATCGATACGATAAATAATTAGTCCCTACTCGCGAGGCAAATCCTACGATAAATGGTGTTTTAGGTAAAACACCAATTGTTATGAAATAAAATGAAAAAAAGTAAAAAGTAAGAATTTTTTTTGAACATTATGAATTTTGAGATAGCCTCAATCGAGATCGAAAAGGATGAATCAAACCTAATCAAAAGGAAAAAAGCAACGAGATCTTTATTTTGTCCCTTTTAAGCGATCCAAAAAGAAAAAAAATGATATATATATATTAAAGATATTACTATGTATCTATAAAATACCGTCTCAATTCATCATATTTCATGAGATTCGGAATTGTTTAAAAGGAAGGGAGTACAAACTATTTTGATTTAACTTATATTCGAACACTTTGTATTACAATATAGATAGCTTTATACAAGTGATACTGCTTTTGTATGCAATTGCATCGTGGATTTCAAATTCGAGTTCTGAAAATAAAAAAATCATATTAAAAACATTACGTCTAGAGATAACTCTATAATATGGAAATTGAGATTAATTGAATTTCAATACGATTATTAAATATTGAGGAAAAAAACACTCCTAAAATGTCATACACAAAAAGAAGTTTCTTATTTATCAAACAACAAATATTTTGCAAGTATATGGGAATTATATTTAATTCACCACAGTCCACAACCCATAATAAAATAGATTGAAAATAAGTTTCAAATTTAAATTTTAAAAGACAAAATATTACTTCTCATGATTAAAGTTAATGAAATAGATTGAAAATAAGTTTCAAATTTAAATTTTAAAATACAAATTTAAGATTAAAGTTCATAGGTTTTTCAACAAACATCACAGAGTATGCACAATTTCTAAGAAAAAAAAGACATAATACATAAATACGATCATTAATTTGACATAGCGAATAACTGACCTTTAATATTGAATGTGCACAAGTAGGCACTTAAATTTGTATAAATTGAATAAATAGATACTTTCGTCCTACATCGCACTCTACACGATAATTTCGTGTTCCACGTGGCGTACTAGGTGTATTATGACATGTAGGACAAGTGTGTCTACTCATTCAATTCTAT